TTAGAATAGCATGGAAAAGAAAAGGTTGGACGGCTTTACCAATTTGATAGCGCTCTTTAGGTTCTGCATGTAGAATCCTGCCAGAAAGAACGTTGCCGGAACCCCGAGTGCATTGATGTACTCCTCGACTTCAGCTTTACCATCAAAATGAGGGACATTTGACAATTTCCCACCGGTTACTGTGATAGGGTTAAGAAGAGCTATGGGCCATGTAGATCTTTAGATGACGTACATTTCGTGACATTAGGTAGCGAGGACCAAATCAAGTGTTCAACGCCGATCTCCTTTGAGACGTCCGCGATGTTCTTCCCCTGTGTCACCTCAACCTCTTTCGATGCCTTTTCCCAGTCTGTTCTTCGTTAGCCGCCCCCGAGCTCTTTTGTTGACATTGAGGCTGAAAATGAGGAATACACTCTTACAATTTGTCACAGCGAAAACTGAATGCGCTCCGATCAAGGCATTGCGGAGCGTCCCTTTATCGAGTAAATCTGCCTAGTCAATCTATGGTTTTAGTTGAATGTCTTCAATGTTGTTCTGGATCCTGGGGGATACATTGAGCATACCTTGACTACCTCAACTCCTTGTTCTGCTAGTTTTTGGGCTGCTGGCTTTGAAGGATCACGAGTGACGCCGCGAATTTTGAACTCCTTTGACAATTTGGGGTCTGCGAGGACACTTCTAATGACCGACCCACCTTGGTTGCCGGTAGCACCGAAGACGACCAAGATTTTGCTCATGGTTGCTCTTTATTCTTTTAGGGGAAATGGTTTAAAACGAAAGTTGATAGGTGGGTTGTTAAAATGTTGCGTTATTGAACTTCTGCTATTTTGTATGTAGATTCATTTAAGAGGAGGACAGCAAACTTTATATCTAAGTTCTCAGGCCAGCTTGTACGACTTAATCTCTCCATTTCTAGAGATAATCGGCCAAATTCATGTCCCGAAATTATTCAATGTTGTTGATACAATCGTAAAAGCATTATCAAGCAATGGATTACTTATGTCATGACGTCACCGTTTCTTACCGAAACAGGCGGGTATGCACATCATCTATTTTGGAGTTTACTTTCTTTATGCAGTTTGTGATTGTGTGTCTGTTTCAGCCTCGGGGACGTTGGCATTAGCAATACTGTGCAACATAGTTTGTATCGAGAGTGATAACTGTATAGTGATGTCTTGTGAACCATTGCTAAAGTATAATCGGTCTTCAATACTGTGCAACATCGTTTGTATCGAGAGTGATAACTGTATGAGTGATGTCTTGTGAACCATTGCTAAAGTATAATCGGTCTTCATATCCGGACAAACATACTATAACAGTAATTTTTTATTGTCGAGTACAGAAAATTCTTGGGGCTATGGCCGGCTAATTGGTATGAGTCAATATAACATGGCTGCGAACGGTATGTTAAGAATTTATAATTTATTGTGACCTTATACCTCAATACCATGAGTTTAAAACGCAGATAAATTTAATGTGATGATATCCGTCCACATTAAATGACCCTATGGTTTCCTTGAAATTTCACCTCACATTTATCCCTTGGACGGATGAAACTCTCAAATTCGCAGCCTGGACCGTGCACGCACTTAGTCAGGTAACCTCCTTGCTTTTTGTGTGCGGTAATTATAATACAGCCAATCAAAAATCAGCACGAGTTACTAGATATGGCTAGTATTAGCTGAAAGAGGGAAGCTGCGAATTTGAGAGTTTCATCCAAGTGATAACCAGTCTAGCATCGAGAGGCTTCTTCGGAGCTCAGCTCTGGGATAATTATCTGTAATGGAGAATTTCTCTCCCGAATATGATTTCGAGGTGTCCCGGCCGAGAAGGTTGTAATGCTTGGTATCCCCCGGGCAAGTACTATACATAATACATTACTGTAATTACTAGGGGGGCCACCTCGTGACCGCGAGTTGTAAGAACTGTATTATGATAATTATGGGAGTGCTTCAATGGAGGGCCTTCGCAAACCCCATCCGCCTCCGTCCGGCTCCCTCTACACTTATGGAGGCGCCTTCGGCCCCATCCCCTCCGCTATCGGCGCCATAGATTTTGGTGGGTGGGCTAGTTGCTATGCAGGGTTGGGGGCCACGGCTCTCAACCAATCAGGAGACAGAGAAATCGGAAAGATCGAAAGACAGTACATATTAGAAGATGCACGTGATCCCTATTGTTACTGCCAGGTGTCGCGATCCGCGACACTTGAGCCTCAACACCAGTGTAGCCTGCCTTCTACAATCCCGTCTGAACTGTAACAATGGCCTCCACCTCGGGGCCCAATACAGCTTCTGAAGTTGCCAACGCTCTATCTACAGCGGCGGTAGAGCAGCCTCCTTTAAATGCAATAAACTCGGTCGGTTCAAAAGTGACAAAAACGCCCCCCCCAGACACCCCCGAGAACATTCGCACTCGATCTTTCGTTATTCTATCTTTTTGGATCGTGGTTATTTCTGTAGGAATACCACTATGGTGGATTACAACCGCCATATACCGGGCACCGCTTCCGTTAAAGGAGATGCAAAGCTGGGCTGATGGAAGGGTGTGTTTCTGTCGATGTATCCCCCTTTCATGGCGCAGGAAGCTAAAGGTCAATAGGCGTGCAGAGCAGAATTTCCACTACTCATAGATGTAGAGGCACCATTATTACCGGACCCCGAAAATCTGCTGAAGACCGTGCAACATGCGCTTGATGACGCGAATGACTTTTCTGCTCATCATCTGCGACTTCGGCTCTCCACGAATGCACCAAAGTCGCCAGAGAAAGAGGAAGACGAGGTTGTGGCAGCGACTCTACGGCTCTCACCTGGCCCAGCCGGAAAACCCCATTCGTATAACTTAACTCCATCATCACGTGTGATAAACCTATCTTATTCGCCTTCCTACAATCCCTCAACAAGCCTCTCGGCATTTGTGGCCAGTACTCTTCAGGAGATATTTGCTGAGGAACAGCAGATGATTTCTTATCTTTTGGCATCGACTACTTCGAATCCTTCCTCTTCTCCTGTAACTTCGTCCAGTACTTCGAATGGAAATAATGGCTTGGGTAAGGTCAAGGTTAATACAGCAGACATAACACGCAAGATGAGCCGAATAGTGAGATATTCTCCAACGTACCACTTGACGTTTTCTCTCTTCACTGCATCAGGACTACCAAATAGCTGGGATGTCGAACATGCTATTTCTGAATACCTACAGCCACTTCTTGACGCTTTGGGCGGAATTAGTACATTTACTGTTGATTCTCAGATCCAGTTTTACGCATCATTGTCTTCGAGTGTAGCCCCAACTTGGGTTCCAGGTCCAGAGGGGGAAGAGCAAAAAGGGCAGTGGATACTGAAGAAAGAAGACCTCACTAGCTTTATAAACAGCGCCGAGTGGCCATTGGTCAGCATCACGAGCTACCCAACCATCAATTTTATCATTTACATTCCGTCGAAGGATCAATCGCCTCTTCTGATTTCGGACAGTGCCACGAACGCTTTCCTTCTGCCCCAATGGGGTGGTGTCATGATTATGAACCCTAGCCACGGTTCTCCAAATAGCAGCTCCTCTGGCTCAGAGCTTACATCGCACCTGAGTAAAGAAGCGTTGAAGCCAGCGCTTGATCTTTTTGCTACCCAGCTTCTCTCACTTCTTGGGGCACCAACTCGTCCAGCATCGCTGCCCATTAGACTTGACTCTTTAACCCGTCAAAGATCTGCTGAGCTCGTTGTCTCTGCATCTTCTACCCTTGGTTCCTTATACAGACTGACTCTTGCTCTCCCATCTATCTCCATCCCGTCTTCGGTTTCTACTTCGGTAGCTTCGACTCTCCTATCACTGAAGAATGCATGCCGCGAGCTCAAGAACGGCCGATTTGCCGGCGAGGGCGGTGCTTTGGAAGAAGGTAAGAACGCTGCCATTCAGGCCGAAAGAGCGTTTTTCGAGAAGAGTATGGTTGGCCAGGTGTACTTCCCCGAGGAACATAAGATCGCCGTCTACCTGCCGCTCATGGGGCCTGTTGGCGTTCCGTTGATCATGGGGGCCACAAAGGAGCTTGGGAGGCTTTTCAGAGCTTGGAAGGCGCAGAGGGCTATCAGGTAGCTGAATATGTTTGGGTGTGTGTGAAGTAATTGAAGTTTGCTTTGTATCTTAGTTAGTTCTAAGTTTTTGGACACAGAGTAATTAGCTTTTTTTTTTTTTGTTGGCTCATATTGCGTCCGCGGAGTTTTGAGGTTATTGTATTGTTGGTTTTGTCCACGCAGAAAGCCGCAGACAGGCGATTTGTGTTTGGTGGGAGGGCGGGATAGAGTGCTAAAAGATCATGTATGGTAGGCTGACCGCACTAAACTGCTGTGTAATGGCTAATCCCTTTTGATGTCTTGGCTTTGCGAGTGATTGTTCGTGGAGAATCGTTAGACCAATCGAGCTGTCAATGATCTCTTGGCAATTATAGTAGCATATGTTCATAGTTATCACTCTAGACAGCTGATAAAACAGCAAAAGAAAAAAGAAAAAAAAAGGTAATGAGGAACTTATGATTGCGCACCGACTGCCAGTTCACCCCCGCTAAAACCCCAAAAGACACAAAAACGAAACCACAAAAAAAAGAGAATCCAATCCACTGCTCCCGTCCGTTATCCCGCAAAGCAAAAACCAACTAATTAAACCAGTCCCTTAAGCTTCCATCTACTCCTCCACCCTGTCCATAGGCTTTCAAAAAAGAAAAAGGAAAAGAAAAAGAAAAGAAAAATGTTATAACTATGGTACAATACTCATTCATGCATTCACCACTGCGCCGAAACCCCGGTCAAGTTATGTTTTTTTTTGTTTTTTTGCAATTCATTCCAGTCCTGTCAGTCTTTTTTGCCGTCATCTTATTGTCCACTGTCTGCGGGTTTCTCTATGTAGTAGCAGCTACTACTCCTCATATTGCCTGCACCCGTTATACTGCCCTGCCCCGAACCGAACCGAACCGAACCAGTCGCCACCACCCGCCACTACTACTAGCTAGCTACCTAGAAGTCCTCCGCCTCCTGGAAGAACATCGTGAACGAGATGATTGTCCCGTAGATGAGCAGGCCGCCGATAATCGACATGACCATGGCCGAGACCTGGATGATGCCCGAGTGTGCCAGGGCCGCCGGCAAAGCTACAACCACACCACACCTCTGCATTAGCTCATATTTCTCCACCCCTACCGCCCCCCCCCCCCCCCTTCTGAGGTTGAACTTACCAATCCCCATGACGACGAAGAAGCCCGTCAGGAACCTGCCTAGATCTAGCCCTAGGCGGCCCGTACTGTCCATGAAGTCGTCGGGGTTGCTCCAGCACGAGCAGATTGCGTTGGGCAGCGGCGCGATGCAGTATGTGGCGACGACGAGCAGCGGGAAGTAGTTTCCGTAGAGCGCGGAGGAGAGGATCACGAGGAGGAAGCCGATCGCGAGGACCTAGGTTGAGTTGCGTTAGTTAGTTAGCTGGCCTGCAGTGGGTGGGCTGGCGGGCGGGGGGGGGGGGGGGGCTTACGAAGGCGAGGACGATGATGGTTTTGAGGCCGGCCATGGTGGTGGGGGGGGGATATGATGTGCTGGGTATGTAGGGGTGCTGGGGGGAAAGTCGTGAGTCGTGGGGTTTGCGGTGTGGTGGTGGGTGCGTTTGGATGTTGAGGTTGTATGGGCAGGCGATGGGGCTGAGTGACGCGAGGCACTTGGGGTTGTGAGTTGCCAAGACTGCGAGACTGGGAGGTACATACATGTAGGTATTTAGCTACAGCTGGTGATCGGTTAGATACTACAAGCTCCAAATTAAAGCTTCTAACAGATTTGGCTTTGGTCTCGTTAACGAGTCTAGGGCGGATCTGTCGCAAGTTTTTTTATTTTTATTTTGCGAATGGCGATGTCATGGATCATCACTCGGAGATATCATGGTGACACAAAGGTCTGTATGTATGTATGTAATATTGTAACGTTGGCGGAGATCTCGGTTTTCATATTGCAGCGCTTCTCTTTGGCGATGCAGATGCACGCAGCATCGATCACATCCGGGTTGTCGGGTCGTCGACTCGACTTGCAGGATAATGAGCGATCTTATATCTCTCCTAATTGTTTGCATACAGGAGAACTGCATATATAGATAACTACATCTCTCTATACTTACAGAATTAAGCTTCGTCTGACTGTTATTCTAGGAAATCCCCACCCGTGAGTATCATTGCTCATAGCCCTGATCACCGTGAGCTCCACCTAAAAAGATGCCAGATATACCCGGCCCGACTTCTTTACTGCACCTGCTCTAGCTCTCAGAGTACCGATGCAAAGGGAACCGTAAGCCTCTTATCGTACATCGTGAAGAAACCCCACGTGAGAGCAACAGCTTCCCAGATCATTATAGTCTATTATTTTCACCGATGTTAGCCTTCATCGCAATTGATGTCGTGAGTGCGGTGGTTCAAGCATATTACAAAGAGGGGTGCCATTTTGTTCTGGTGGTGGTGGTGGTGGTGGTGGTGGTGGTGGTTTTTACTGGTGATGGTGATGATACGTGGTGTTTGAGGTTGTGAGGGGTTGCTAGCTTGAGGGATGAGGGAAGATGTCGGGTGGTGGCCTTTTTATGTAAGGACTCTGAGTTTGCATGACGTCTTGCAGTCGTCGATTGCGGGGTGAGAACATTGGGTCATGGACTGTCACTCGACGCGCATGGCAGACACCAGCGGGCCAGGACAGAAACAGTCAAGTATACGGGGTGTTTTTGGCAACGCGTGTACAGTCATATTTATCATTGACACGGAAGAAGAAACAGACTTGTGTAATGCAAGAAAAAGAGCGCAAGAGCTAACAAGCAATGCAGTGCAGTGCAGATGCAATTAGTCACCCTGTATGTATAATTGTACTTTTCCTCTTGTAACCTGACCCAAACCAAACTAGACACAAAAGAAAGAAAGAAAGAAGGAAAGCCGGACCAAACAATACCAAAGAGAGAGAAAGAATAAAAAAACACCACCAAAGAATCTACTTTTTTACAACTGATCATCAGTCTCCAGCATGACCGCCTCACCAGGCTTAAACGCTGGCAGCCCGATGTACGGGCAGCCCGCGCACCTGAACGCATCGCCGAGGTAGCAGCTCCCGCACGAGCTCGCCTTGCCCTCAACCGTAAAGTCGATCTCCGCCAGGTCATCCGCATTCAACTTGATTCCCGCCGCGGCCTTCTCCTTTGCCGCTGCGAGAGCCTTGTCGGCCGCTGAGCGCTGTGTGGCGTCCTCCTCCTCGAGCTTCTCCTTGAGACCGCAGGTGCAATCCTTGCATGCGCGCCTACGCTTCCCGGGCTTGGGGCGACACTCGGCCGCTAATCTGTGTTAGTAAAGCGTCCAGCGATAACGGGATAGACGGGGAGGTAGCTTACGTTGCTGAATCGGCGCTGACAGATCGTCGCCGTCAAGGAGCGTCGACTCGTCAATCAACTCGTCATCGTCATCCAGGTCGTCGCCAAAATCAATGAACCCGACGCCGCTCGGCGCCGCCGCCACCACCACGGGCGCCGCCGGCTTCGGCACCGCCGCGGGGCTGTCGGCCTTTCGTCGTAGCTTCAATGGCACGCTCTTTGTGTCTGGCTTTACGAGGGACCCGTCGTCCGCCACCAGGAAGCCCGCCATGAGGAGAGCGAGCTTGTCCGCGCTGACGGGAGTGTTGTTCTGAGACCGCCATTTAGCGCCCGGCGCCATGGAGGCAAAGACCTTTTCTAGTATTGGGGCTGAAGGCTCTGATGTCGCGGAGGGCGTGGAGAGGAGTAGCACGGAGGTGTAGGTTGTCGCTGGGAGGGAGACGAGGCCGAGGGCGAGGCGGTCAAGCATTTGGACATCGGTGGAGTCGCGCGGGAGCGTTGAGAGGGCTGACTCGAGGAGCGCGGGGGTCGAGGAAATGGACGGCGGGCATAGCAGGAGTGTTCGCCCTGTGGGTGTGGGGGCAGGGAGGGAAAAGTCGGAGGATGTGTCGACGAGGACTGCTGGTGGTGACATTTTGACTGGTCTCGTGAGTCGAGGTAAGTACTCTGCTAGGTGTATGTTTGCGTTAAAAAGTGGGTGGGTTTTTCTGGACTGTAATTGAGTGGTTTGGTGCGCAGAGAATGTTTTTATATCTGTGTGGGTTGAGGGGGGTGAGAATTGTCTATCGGAGAGGGTTGGCGGTGGGATAAAAACTCCGTGGAGAAACAGCTTAGAAATCTTTCTTTGAAATCTTTAAAACCTTACACACGATTCGCTTGTCTCCGCCACTAGAGAAATGGCCCCGCCCTGAAGTCCGCCATTGCAGCTTACCCGGACGACAGAGATAACCAGGCAGCATCTTATCGGAGGGGAGCTGCAGGGGGAATAGCGGGGCAGGCAGTATTGACCGTTTTTTGTTCAAGTTGCGAATTATTGTCAATTGTTTTGTGTTGTTCGAGGAAAGGGAGCTCTATTAAGAACTTCCTAGAGCTCATATAGTAATAATTGCAACTCTGCTCTCCAATATCAACTCGCTATTCCCTGCTTCCTGTCATTTCCGTTCTGAAATCTACCACACCTACGTATTGCTCAGAACTAGGAAACCTCCGCGTCAACCCTCAACACCTCAACCCCACGCACACAGCATCGCCAGCATATCCATCACCCCCGCCATCCATCATTTTCTGAGCATCCAAACATTCAAAATGTTCAGAAACAACTACGACAACGATTCCGTCACCTTGTAATACCCCCTCTTCCATGATCCGCTGAGAAGATGAAACCCCCACTAACAACCTCGACAATAGCTCCCCACAGGGCCGTATCTTCCAGGTCGAATATGCTCTCGAGGCTATAAAACAGGGTTCCGTCGCCGTGGGATTGGTCAGCAAGACACACGCCGTGCTTGTTGCCCTGAAGGTATTGTCTCCCGTGATGGAATGGGATAAGAGCACCTTGCTAACGGGACCTGTTTGGCACAGCGGAACGCGGAGGAGCTGGGCAGTTACCAGAAGAAGATCATCGGTTCGGAGCACCTCCCACACACCTTCACAGATAGCTCTAGAATGGAATGCTGATGGGAGAGGTGCATGTTTTATAGGAATCGACACCCATCTCGGTGTAGCCCTCGCCGGCCTGGCCCCCGACGCCCGTGTCCTCTCAAACTTCATGCGCCAGCAATCCATGTCCTCCCGCCTCCTCTACAACCGCCCCGTCCCCGTCGCCCGCGTCGTCAACGCCATCGCCGACAAGGCCCAGGTCAACACGCAGCACTACGGCCGCCGCCCATACGGTGTCGGCCTGCTCGTTGCCGGCGTCGACGAGACCGGCCCTCACCTCTGGGAGTTCCAGCCATCGGGAATGGTGCTCGAGTACCGTGGGGCGTCCATTGGTGCCCGCTCGCAGAGCGCTAGGACGTACCTGGAGCGTACGTATGAGGAGTTTGCGGATAGCAGCAGGGAGGAGCTCGTCCTGCATGGGTTGAAGGCGTTGAGGGACTCGTTGGCGCAGGATAAGGAGCTTACGATTGCGAATACGAGTGTTGCGGTGGTGGGCGTTGGCGGGGAGAAGTTTAAGCTCTATGATGGAGATGAGGTGGGTGAGTGGCTTGAGAAGCTCGGGAATGTCCAGAGCAGTAGGGGTGGGAGGGGGGCCGAGGAGGAGGAGGCTGCAGCTGCTCCGGAGGAGACTATGGATACAACAGAATAGAGTAAAAGAAAAGTTCGTATTCCTGTAGTTTTTCTTGTTTTTCTGTCTGTCTTCTGTGAATAATGGAATAAACAGAGCTATGATATCAATGAGTGCCAGTGCTTTTTTTGTGTTTTTTTGTGAATTTTGAATTAATACTAGGCTCGTGGAGAATTAGGGTTCTTTCTTCAGGATAAAACACTATCTGGTAACTATGTATAATGTAGTGACAGGCAAGAATTCTAAAATTCGACCTAATAACCCCAACTCCATAGTTTCAAAAGAAAACCATATTCCTGTGAACCATATATAACAAAGGAAACCTATTTAGCTAGAAAACTATCACAACTAGTCTATCTACTCCAAGCCCCAATTGAGATTCATTCTCCCGGACGCGGGGACATAATCCCGGATCCTGTCTGCAACCTCCTCCGCCGTCTTCGCCTCGACAATGATACCCTGGGCGCCTGGCTTAATGAACCCAGCCTCCACAGCACTCCTCACCCAAGCCAGCAACCCATCGTAAAATCCATCCACATTGAACAATACAATAGGACAGGCATGGATCCCCAACTGGTTCCAAGTAACAACCTCGAAAAGCTCCTCCATCGTCCCGAAGCCGCCGGGGAGCGCTACAAACGCATTGGAGAGCTTCCCCATCATGCTCTTGCGTGTGTGCATGTCGTTTACAACGGTGGTCTTGCCGTACTCGGCCTCGTCGGGCGTGACCCCGCCCTGCTCGAAGGCGACGAGTGCCTGCGGGACGATGCCGTGCACGTTGCCGCCGAGGGAGCGCAGCGTCCGCGCAACGGTCCCCATGAGGCCCACGGTGCCGCCGCCGTAGACGAGGGACCAGTTGTTGGCGTGCATGGTTGTGGCGAGGGCGGTGGCCGCGGTGAGATAGGAAGGTGAGGTGCCGGCGTTGGCGCCGCAGCTGGGAGGGGAGTGTTAGTATGGGCTTTGTGGTGGGGGGGCGTGGAGGGGGAGTTACAAAACGCAGACGGAGAAGGAGTCGGAGCTGGGGTTTCCGACGGAGGGGGTGGAGGTGCCAGTACCGTTCTGAGATACTGCTGCCATGGTGAGATGTGGTTTGCTTTGGATTTGGGTGTGGTGAATTGTTGTTGTGCTCTAGATGAGATTGTAGAGAGGTAGGTAGTGGTAGTGTGTGAGTAATATCTTTAGTTTCCGAGTTCTCTCAAATGTTCTGAAGTAGCGAGCTAGAGTAGAGAAGACTCATTGCTTTATATAACCACTTTTCAGCTCCCCTCACCCCCCCCCCTCACCGATATCATATCCGCATGATCATGATCCCCTTACCTCGCCTTCCCTAGCTACCTGCTTTACTTGGTCGCCTCGTCGAGCCAATTGCATTGCTATGCGGACGTGGTTGCGCTCCTGCCTGGTTGGCATAAGCCCCAATTCTCTGCTGGAGAAAAAAAAAGAAATATAAACATCGGTCATCTGCGTCAAGTCGGTTGAGCCTCATGTCGTCATACCTTTTCCTGTCTCGAACGGGGCGAGCTAATCAATGCTTCCCTCTCAACCCATGTTGGATACACCAGCAATGGTGCGCCGAAGAAGATCAAACAAATGGAGCATGGGAAGGGACCCGACTCGATTACTTTTGTAAACTTGCAGAGCTGGGAAGTTGTTCCGGCATGTTGGCCGTACAGGGGGTTGTACGCAATTGAGTTACCTAGGTTGACGCTGGCGATGGAGACACGGGTTTATGCTGTTTCTGATGATCATGCAATGCGCTGCACGGCATCGGGGAGGCTGTTCTGGAAGACTTCTGACGTGGGGCGTTCATAGGGTCTCGATGTTTACCAGGTCTTGGGCTTACGGTCATATCGTGGAGCTGCTAATGGAGGGACAGGGTCATAGATACTCCCTCGGGAGTGGGGGTTTCATGGAGTGTTGGGAAAGCCTATTTGTTTGGCAAGTGTTTAAATGGAGTTATTGGATGCAGAGTCGGCTCTATTGGCATCGATGGGTTCAAAGGGGACGCTTAGTCCCCTGACCTATTGCATCTTTGATCCAATTGGGCTATGGCCTCTACTCGAGGTATGGTGAATCTGGGCTTATCTTGGGATTTGAGCCTGTACGGCATGAATTGTTTAAGGTTGTGAGAGAGTTTACGGCATTGTACAGAAAGGTTAAGCTTTAGAACAATATTATGCGATTCATGACCCAGGCCGGCCTCTTTTTGATGCAACCTAGTTTCGGTGCTGTTACTTAGTTATTGAGAAGGAGCCGGATCGGGCTCCAGCTCCGACTCCAGCTCCGACTGCAACTGGTCTCGGACTGACTTACGGATACAACTGCGCAGTATCTAAGAGCATCTTAGTTCATGCGTATACTTGACAAGTACCTCCTGGGTCTCTAACCAGTTGGCTGCTTGTTCCTAGATATTGCTTCCTCATAGTCAACTAGGTTCCCAAACCGGAACGCAAGGACCGCTCTATGATATTTATACCTTGATACCTACATACGTACCAGCAGCTACCCCGGACATCCCAAACGCCATGTCAATTGCCTACCTCCCAGTCCACACATCCCCCCCGCTCATGAAGCCGCCCCTCCCCATACCCATGCCCGACCCGCCTCCCCCGCCTACACTCCGCTCCTTCGGCCTCTTCGCAACCTTTCCCGCGTCGCGCACAGCCTTGACAATCTTGCCTAGATCCGTCTCGACGACGCACCCGCCGATGATCATCTCTTCGAGCGTTGCATGCAGCGTCTCGAAGTTGAAAATGAGGTCGAGCTCGCAGACGTTCTCGAAGAGTGCGTCGAGGGCTTGCACGAACACTTGGATTAGGTCAAGGAGGCCGAGGGGGGATTCGAGAGAGTCGCTGATCACGATGAAGTAGAGGGTGGCATAGTGCCGGTATAGGAGGGTTGTGGGTTCGTCGCCGGCGCTGGTGTTCCAGGATGTTGAGGAGGAGGAGCCGGCGAGGAGAGGTGGGAGGCTAGTAGTGAGAGCTGTGAGTTAGTATCTACATGGAGTTCAAGCATTATTGAGCAGGGAGAGCTACGGGAGGAAGTTGCAGGCGGAGGCAGGGCGGTTCGAGACGAGGGAGAAGATCTGGGTGAGGAGCTTTTGCTGTAGTGAGACGTCCTGAGAGGTGGTTAGTTGGTTATTTTGGAGAAATGTGTAGTAGAAAATCGAGACGAACAATCTGGGAATAGAACTTTGTCAGGCGCGGCTGGCCGTTATTGTTGAATACTAGTACGGCGTTGATCATGGTGAGAGCTGTGATTTGGGATTGGTTGCTTTGGATGGAGCTTCTTGGTTTGACTGACGTTGGAGGCTCTTATCAATTAGAGATCTTATCAGATCTTATACAGCTAGCGTGATATCTAGAACCACTTTCAATTTTCATCTACGAGACAGTTGCCTTGACCAAATCTATAACAGAGGTAGCAATGAACCGTTTCATTCACTCTGATTTGCCCTGATCTGTTTGATCCTCATTTTAATCTCGGGACCTCTGACCGTTCTCTAACCATTATACGTCAAATGACCCGATAAAGGCTACATTTTGGGCCTCTTTGACTGCGGCCATACCATCCATACTAGGGGACCACTAAGATCAACAATCTCAATTCCTTGTACAACATTTTCCCCAAAAACACTCTGGACCGAACACAAGGACTAAGTCTCGGAGCTTTGTGAGTGATGAAATGGTTAGTGATTCGGGGCCTTCGTTTCAAACCGTCGATATCTGTTCATAATTAGGATTCCCGAGCTCGAGATCGATAATATACTCTAACTTATCAGCATCTTAGAGCTTTTATCTGAGATAAGATGGGACATCGCATGTGCAAATCATTGACCCCCGGGGGAGGGCTTCCAATAGCGAATCTTTTAAAGTTTTTAAATCTGAATACAGTACTGTCTTCCAATTCCTCTTGTTCCGGGGCCTTAGGTTGTACAATTGTAGTCTTATAAAGTTGGAGTTGTGGCAGTATCTTTGGTTGTATATCTCAGACCGCATCCTGACAGATTAGGGTACAGGCACGATAAGCAGTCCCAGAAACCCTAAACAACCCACACACATCACAGCGCTGCCCCACGATCACGATGGCCGTAGCAACCACCAACGCGCCAAAGTCGTTTCTTCGCCTGGACAACCGATTACGACAACACCGACCACCAAACGAGCTCTCACGACCCCCGAATTCACACCAACTAATTCAAAATGGTAAGGATTCTCTATGTCTAATTTTCGTTTTTTTTTTTTGTCCGTCCATTTTCTGGTGGTGCCGAACCGGGATTATTTTTCGCGATACCGAGGCCGAGAGGGACGACTGTTTCTTGGAGCGGAGATGAGAGATAGCGGACCTTAAATTGTTTCGAGGTTCGGGGTTTTGCCGGGGTTTTCGGATGTGGGGAAGGGATGGATGTGGGGGATTGAACGGGATTCGCATTCGGTTTGGCCAGTGGCGTCAACGGCACACAGATACCTATCAACAAACTCGATACGCTGTCTAAACATACATCAGGATCATGCCAACCGTCGCCATTCAGCTCGAAGCAATTTGGAGATTTTGGATAGAGGATGAGCTGGGAACGAAGCTCCGGACACAGCAAACCAGCATTCGCCACCACCGGACATATATGATGGAAATAAGAGTCATGGCTCAGAGTGCTCGCTAACAACTCTAACTCCTCCAGGTCAACGTCCCCAAGACCCGTAAGACCTACTGCAAGGGCAAGTCCTGCAAGAAGCACACCCAGCACAAGGTCACCCAGTACAAAGCCGGAAAGGTCCGTTCTCGTTTCCCCCGAATGTCAGCACCCCCGAACGTAAACTAACGAAGCTCCTCCACTCTCCAGGCCTCTTTGTTCGCCCAGGGAAAGCGTCGTTATGACCGTAAGCAGTCCGGTTACGGAGGTCAGACTAAGCCCGTCTTCCACAAGAAGGCGAAGACCACCAAGAAGGTCGTGTTGAGACTGGAGTGCACTGTCTGCAAGACCAAGGCCCAGCTTGCCCTGAAAAGATGCAAGCACTTCGAGCTTGGGTACGCCATAATTCTCCCCGCAATTGGTGTTAAAAATGGTACTGACATGCTGGTTTCCCTCTCTTTAGTGGTGACAAGAAGACCAAGGGTGCCGCTCTTGTCTTTTAAATGCAATAAAAAAAAACCCGGTGTTTCATTTCTCGTTTTTTTTTTACATTTCTTTCTTTCTTGGTTGGCATTGGAGGGGATTGGCAACTTCGGATCAAAAAGTAGTAATGTCATCGTACTGCAAATCTGAAGAAGTTGGCAAAAAATTAGAGATAACGTCAATATGTTGTTTCTAGTAACTAGTCCTAGGGACCGGGGAAGGAAGAATGGGTGATGAGGAAACCTATCTATATACCTACTACCTGCCAGCCATTGTATAAAGGGAAAAAAAATGGGAAACAGTATCATCAATCTGCTGGCATAGTTTTTTGGTGATTCGGTTGGAGAGCTCTCAAATAGAGACTATTTTTTAATCAGGTTTGATGTAAGCGTATACGAATTAGAGGCACTTAACTTAATCTACAGTAAATCCCTTTGTATGTGGCCGTGAGTACTGGTTTTCTCCAAAATTCAACAAAGTGTCGCAAGATCCGTCGTCACAGGCCGAGTGCGGGATTGTGATTCCCTCTTGGCAGATGGGTGATATTACTCAGTAATCCTTTAAAAGGACGCGTGTAGAGAAGGTCGGAGAACCTTCACCAGACTTTCCCAGGACAGGATTCACGCAACACAATCCAGTCGAATGTGCCCAAGCCTAACTACTCGTGGGTTCTCGCCGTTGAGGAACTCAATACACGGCGAGTGATACGTCATGACCACAACCCATCCAGGATGATGTCATATTATTGATAAGAGAATAATGTGGATGTGTTGAGGATAATGCGATATAAGAATGAGTAGGCTAGGTTTTTTCTAGCCATACCCGTTTTAAACGGCGACGCAAAAGCGCCTGGGAGTGTGAATGTCTGTCCCAGTTTGGGGGACACTCTATTATTGAATCTGGATATAAGGGTTTAATACCGTCTATCTCGAACTCAAATAATTTTCGGGGTACTCATGATTTCTGAGACTGGATCCGTACCCATTGCTTAGTCAGGCGTCACATGAAATCACTCGTAAAATATATACCTCCACTTAGTTAATCCTTTTTTAGTATCCCCATCGAGCTGATGTGATAAGATTCCATTTGTGTGTTTCAAAGCGTGCCCTATGTTCCTCCCGGGCGCCGCGGCCATTCGAGGTTTTGGAGTTCGGCTTTTGAGGTTCCCCAAGGTACCTCGGAGTAAAATAAGCTGGCGGTCTTGAGGTACCTCGGTCTTGCAAACCCTTCGCCTCGAAGTAAAGTAGAGTGAAAAAGACCCTAGGTATCGTGGATCACATTGGGCCTGGTACTATGGAATACTGGTGGATCTCTTGGGCCGTTTTTTGATACTGTACGCCGAATGGGTAGAAAATAGGTTCGTAAAATACTAATATCTACAGTCTAGTCAGACAGCGCTCGGGTTAAAGCGGAGGGATGGTCCATTAGCTTCGCCTCCTTTGGTTTTGTACAGCCTTGATATATTTGTGGGTATATGTAAGTATCGAGGCACTTCGGTGTGTCTTGACGCTGAGTATCGAGTTATATATTAACTGTTGATAAGTAAAGGCCCCTAGCTCTGGTCGTGGGTGGGTTAGATACCGATGGAACCATCACTATCATTCAATCTTTCACATGAACCGGAGCGAAGGCGGCCTTCAAGGCTGAGCCTCGGAACTGTCCACAATTAACATACGTAAGCTACCTATATTCTCTTCTCATTTATCTTTGAGTTCAAACCCCATGTTACGGAAGAGGAGGAGGTGAGAAGGGAAACAGGCGATTCAACTGGGTGCTCAAGATAAAACGGAAGGAAGAAATAGAGGAGTTAACTCGATACCTTTCAGCCCCGAGAAAACCCTGAAATGAGAGGGGGAGGCTGACCACCCAGGGGAAGAGTAAAGTGCATTGTAAGTGAGTCTTTTCTTGAAGCGCTTGGTCGTAGAGTATCGGCCTTCTCCGGCCTCAGGCCTAGGCTTACACTAGCTTGGGAGAAGACAGCAAGAATCTTCGGCCTCTTGGACAGAGGCTTGGGTCAGGTGTGCGTGGTTTGGGCCGAAAATTGATGATGCCGTCAAGTTTTGACAACGCCGTTACGTTCCACTGCCAGACACCACCACAACGACAAACACAACCACCGCCACCACCGTCACAACCATGATCACGGTCATCGTCCCCTTTCAACTCCTCAAACGTCATCCCTATCCAGAGCACCTAGATGAGCTCTTTCCTATCTATATTTCAAAACGAGGTAGACCTATCGCTGAAACTTCGAAAGAGTTGCCGCTACCACCGCCGCCGCCGTTGTAGTTTGGTAGCGGTCAATAGCTGATCCAACTGAAGTTAGATTCGATAATGAACACGATATTTGGTGGCCCATCCATCCTCTATGGGCATTTTTTAAATAACATTAGGACATAGACGCAAACATAATGATGCTTCATTCCCCTAGGCATCCGAGTCCTCATGGATTCTCTCTACATATCCTATGTATCATCGCATTGAGATACTTTAAGTCCAGACTGGAAGGTCTTGGCTTTCCAACGAACTTTTCCAGGACAAACCTGAGGTTATGCTGATAATCATCATTGATTGATGACCAGACTTCTCGGGTCCAAACCTTTCAAGTCGACCAAACACCCAGAAACAACGAGTAGTACGTCATGCTTCTAGTGTATTTTACATGAGCTCAAAAGTTTGGTCATATCCTAACATCTGCCGAGAAGGATGTTAAACACACCTCTTCTGTTATCGATCCGATAAATACTGGTTTCACCGCACCTACCATAGGGGAATATACTAGTAATCAATATACCGTATCTAGCATCCATAAGGCTAATTGATTTTGAGCTGAGCCGAATTGTGGTTTTATCTAAAAGGCCCCCACAATTAAGGGGGGCCACCTCCCTGATAAGATAATACCGCGGACCGAATGATCATATACTACTTTTTTGGCCTAAATTCGGACAAGCCCTGTGGAGGCCGATAAATCTTTTCGGCGCCTAAAGTTGTCGTTGATTTTTGCCAAGTGTGTCCTCACCAAAAGCTTGAATAGCCAAGATACTTGGCTAGACATATTTTGACTCTGGAGTCTGCCCACGTTTTGAAAGCTTGTCTACTTAGCCAAGATACTTGGCTTCTATCGTATCTCATTTGCAATTGAATATATGGAGTAATGAAAGGCGTTCTCCATACTTCAGTGTATAACCGGTATGCCGGTCACCAAGACGGAATTTTGCAGTCCGGTTGGTAAGAGTATAGTATTTAGTTTGGATAGGGGATAAACCTCTTGTCGGGAATGCAGCTTCGGGGGGGTTTCTTCATTTTTACTAAAACAGCTGATTTAGGATAGACGCCGATGACGTTCCCCGAGACTGATGGAAAAGTTTTCTCCTACAACGCGTGTACCTATTCTCCTCACATGGGACGTGGCGGGGCATATTAAAGCGGGTAGATTACTATCCGGGTTCTAAGTCGTTTCTACTTCTCACCCACTCGGTACACATACAGGGTTGGTAGTGAATTCATGTATGTACTTGCTAGACCTGGCATGGGTCTTTCGATCGATCTTCAGGTCTGTGTACTTTCCCTGGGTCGCATCTTTAGACTGAAAAGATACATATCCCAGTACTCTTTCTTTTTAGCTTGCCTCTGGCGGACGAACGAGACTCGTGGGATTTGTAACAGGTGTTCTGGGAGTGAGGAAGAGCGAGTTACAACCCTTGCATAGACAGGCGCTCTCGGTTCGTATGTACTGAAATTACTGATCTGCATAGATTCTCGCATATGAGTTTTCAATTTACTGACGACTGAAAAAACCAATTGGCAATCAATTATTCTTTAACCACTCTAATTAATTCAGTTTTTCAATTCTACCAAGGTCGCGGCTTTTCCGCCTAGTTTTAAGTGGCCCCCAATCATGATGAAGCTTTCTGTTCTGCAACTAGTCTCATGAGTAAGTACTGATGGCTTGTTTTCTTCTTCTTTTCTTTTGACAATATTGACGTACTGAAGTGGGTACTTGAGAACCTCCGTACTTGAGTATTTACACCTAGTACCAGCGATCTATTCTATAACTGGAGACGGAAAGTGGGAAAGATTCCTCTAAGAGGTTTTCAGTGGTGCTAGTAGATCGGGTCCTACTAAAGCCGCAGTAACGAAGGCACGTAATGGCAAAGAACCCCCGAATATTTGGGGAAAAACTTTTGAAACTGTACTTATAGGGGTAGCTATACCGCTTGGAACCGAACAGTAATTCCGGTTAAAGAGGCTAGGCCATCTCCGAACTGCATTTCGCCACCCGAGGGAATAGTTACCGCCTATTTTGAAGGGGACAGGTGATAAGATTCCGATTAGCCCTACAGAGATTCATATTTGATTTGGATATCACTCTATTCTAATTGGTGGTTGACGCGTCTGTTTGGGAACGTAGTAGGTAGGATGTGCGATACACTAGCCCGGCTTCTAAAGTAATAACTAAATTTGTTCTAAGGGGTGCACGTCCTACAAGTTCACTTATTCCTTGATTTCTCTCAATTGTACTACATGTAGTGATTGAATATTGGCTTGATACTGTAGCCTGCACAGCCATATTTCGAGTGATGGCTGATGATGGTACCCACAGCACACGTAAACCACCTGTCGTGGCCAACAAACATGCAGGTACATACTGTAGTTCAATGAACATGAAACAACACGATATTGGCTTGTAGACTACTATCGTGGTTACCAAAAACATGGTGTTGCGTTCACGCACGTCGCATATCTGGTTTAGCGACCCTCAAAGTACTATAATTTTATGCTTGAAACCAAGCTGTGAAGAAGCTTGTGTACCGAAGTTGACCGTTTTGGAGCTATGCCAAGAAAGAGTCGTCGCGGCGCGGCAGCAGACGCGTCACTCCCGCTCTTGGCATACTTCTAGAAACCACACCCTATCACTCGGATCGGTAACTAGACCGCAACCCCCTGTTCCCAGACAGCACGCTGTCGGTTAACCAACCGGTAGGAATTGTAGTAGGGCGAGTGGGCCTAGGTAAACCAGAGCCTCAAAGCAGAGTACTGGGAAGTTCCGAGGTTGGTAGCCAACCGCCGTTGAATATGCATACTTTTGGAAAGAGAGGGTTAGTAGTCTGTCCGTACCACCTACATCTACTCTACTTTACGCGTGGAAAGGAGACATGTGGGGGAGATGTGGATACTTGGTGACGACTTTGCCTTAACCCCAAAGCAAGCTTTCGCCGAGCCATAGCCACTTCTGCTCCGCCTTGAAACACCGATTTGCGAATCGGTTGTCTACTATTGCTAACCAACGGCTTTTTAGATTGTACTACTGAAAGGAAACTTCCGCTAATTTGGGGATCTGGCTGGCAACCCTTGTCAATATGTTGAGATCTTGACGTCTGCAGTATCTTTGAAGACTCGTAGCCCTTGCAAGATGCTGCGTAATAGGGTGCTCTATGAGGAGAACTTAGCACTTTCACCTTCAACTCCGAAATCTATAAGAGTTTGAGGATTGGCACTCTTAATGGAAGCCATCAGAACAATCAATCAGTATCATTCGCTCGCAACATCACACAATCACACAATCTTTTCACAATCTTAAATTCGCATTTTTATATCTATAACAACATCTCAATAATCAAAATGGTTCAAATCACTGCTTTGTTAGCTGGCTTCACCGCCGCCGCTGGTCTTGTTGGCTCAGCAGTAGCTCACCCTGGAGGTCACGAGGCCGAGAACCTCGTCAAGCGTGATGCCGTCTGGCACGCTTCCAAGCGCTCTCTCGCCGCCTGCGCAGAGACCCTCAATGGCCGTGCCTTGATGGAGCGCGCTGTCACTCGTCGCAACGAGCTCGCCCAGAAGCTCCGCCAGAAGCGTGGCATTGAGTCCAGTAAGTCAAGATAACGATACATCTGCCCATGATATCAATTACTAATAAATTCCTCCAGACCACCTCTACAAGGCCCGTGACTTGGCCTCTGCTATGGCTGTAGACCACCACTCAAACAAGACTGGTATCTCCCAGAACACCCACGCCAGCTACCTCTTTGGCAGCTCATTCGCTTGTCTTCTTACCCCCGAGGTTACTGAGGGTCCTTACTACGTAACCGGCGAGTACATCCGCCAGGACGTCCGTGAAGACCAGGAGGGTGTCGATGTCTACCTTGATCTTCAATTCATTGATGTCAACACCTGCGAGCCTGTCCCTGGCATCTATGTCGACATCTGGAACGCAAACTCTACCGGTACCTACTCAGGCATTGTCGCCAGTGGAAACGGTGACTCCACCGATTTGACCAACATCGACAAGACCTTCCTCCGTGGTCTCTGGAACACCGACCACGAGGGTGTTACCCAGTTCACCACCCTCTTCCCTGGTCATTACCAGGGACGTGCTACCCACACCCACATTGTTGCTCACCAGGGCGGTGTCGTCCAGGCCAACCAGACCTTCTCTGGTGGGAACGTCACCCACGTCGGACAGCTCTTCTGGGACGAGACTCTCCGCTCCGCTGTTGAGACTGTCTACCCATACAACACCAACACCCAGGCTGTCACCTCCAACGAGGAGGACCAGTGGGCGCCTAGCCAGGCTGACAACGACTATGACCCGTTCCCAGAGTACGTCTACCTCGGCGACGATGTTAGTGAGGGTATCCTCGCCTGGATTTCCATCGGTATCAACAGCACTGCTGCCTACGATATCTCTGTTGCTGCTACTCTCACTGAGGATGGCGGTGTTGCCTCTGACACCGTCTTCGGTGGTGGAGATGCCGGTGCTGGTGGTGCCATGAACGGAACTATGCCATCGGGCGGTATGCCATCCGGTGTTGCTCCATCTGGTGCTATCCCCTCCGGAACTGGCGCCCCTGCGGCTTAAATATGTTCTCTGATCTATTGATCTGTTTCGGTGCGAGCGTGTGGCTTACAAGATAGTACTACAGTGATGGGAAACTTGTATGTGTACTTGTAGTTTTGTGGGGGGGTGCTGGTTATACTTTTCCTTTGTCTTTGTGTGTATTGTTTAATTTCCTTTGTTACTATACCCTGAGATGTGCTATTGGCTCTTGGATGCAGGAATAATGTTTCCATTCTTATGTTTTGGATGTAGAACTGCTCTGGCTTAGAAAAATTTCTGAAAATCAATATGATTCTTATACCCATGTTACTTTGGTGTAAGAATTGAACAGCTGTGATTATTAACCGGAAGAGTGACTTCACTTTGTTGTTTATCATGAGTGTAGTCGACAGGATTTTCCGCTTCAGTAGAGAAGAAATCGAAGTTCACCCGAGGTGAATCAGAGCTCACCTGTAAGTGCGCAATATTATGAAAGATGTTTTATCATGGCATCCAAAATCGTTCGGAAAAAATTCAAAGGGCATGTTTTTGTCAAATACCACTCTTGCTGCGTGGCAGCTCCTAAGTCAGACCTCCTTGCCTTTTTTCCCAAAGAAAACCAAGATATGCAGGGTGCTATTTAGTCAAGCCTGTTTTTCATTGGTAGCGACTAGAAGTGACTCCACTATGACCCGATGATGGATTTGAGATTTGATCATGAAATATCACTCGTAAGTGACATCGCCCGCCCGCAACCACTATTTGAGAAGTATCCCGTGTACGTTAAAAGTAATATTGTGTAATGTGAGTGGTAGTGTAAACTGGATCGTAGCTTCCAGTAAGATTGATCAATTCATCATCCTTCTAAATGTTGCTGTTGTGCGCGCGGTGCACTGCGAGCCTGTAAAAGGTGCTTCTTGCCTGGGTAGTCGATCAACCCGAGGACAATGGATCTTCTATTCAGGAATCTGAATTTTGTGCGCCATTTCCTAGTCCGTTTCGCAACACATCCATAGCCGTATTTCTAGGAAATAGTTTTCAAGTACTCTGTTCCTAGTTGTCACTCCAACTTCACGCTGGCGGAGGAATTCAGATAACGGGTCGGGTGCAAGTTTTGGCAAGAGAGTAAAATATAGGAACTTTCCCTAGAAAGAGTACCTTATCCAAAAAGGTCGATGTGTGAAAGATTTCTGCAAGCTTGCATCCGGATGGGAGTGTCTTCGTCTGGTAGAAATCAAATTAAGTACCACCAGACTCCATGCTGCTATCTGTAATATCAGTCTCATTGAAGCAAACAGTACGTTGAGAAATATTCCTGGTCGGGTGGTTTTCGGGGCACCCATCTGATGCAGGTCTTCTCATGCCATGCCAAATACCGAGGGACTTGCGGTTGATTCCCCGCCAGCACTAGAGAGAAAATAGGGCGCCTTGCTGCACCTTGCCTCGTCGCTGTTCCTGCAGATTTTGTTTTCTGTACACTGCAAACACGAGTGTGCGGTGCGGCGACTTCTGGTGCGAGTGAACAGTCTTGCCAATCGACTATGTTAGTAGCTGCTTCTAAGTCCTTCGTTCTTATGAACCCGAAGGTTGAGTTGATTCAACTTGTATCTAGAAGGTAGACCGAGATGCCATAACCCGTCTAGGCTTTTCCTGCGAAGCTACGGTTCGATTCGCATCATAGTTAATCACTCGCATTCATTAGTGTTCTCTTTATCCGAGCCATGAACGGAGGAAAACTTGGAATTCTGGTTGAGGTTTTCTGTGAAGGTAAGTAGGTGAATTTCATCTAGACCCAAGGTCAGCTGGTCTAAAGATCCAGCATCAGAGGGGACTCATGGAGATTTCGTTATCTGCTGCTGCTGTCTGACAGCGTGGTTGGCTAATGCCATGCGCTCGGGGCTGTGCTGGTCATCGTGGCGGGTCATCTGAACTTCTCAGTCTCGTAGGTCATCCTGTATCTGAGCCTGCGGCCTTCTATTAGATAAGTTGTGCCCTGGTTATCTGCGGGGGTCTGATAGAGGTAAGTGAGTGGGGATAGATGGAGATGGATGGAGATGGATAGAGATGGTTGGTGAGGTTGGTGGTTAATTTGAACATCCACGCACGGCCCAGCAAACAGGGCGGGTAACGAAACTGGGGTCCAGATGTGAGAAGGTGAGGTCAATTGAGAGTTCAGGGCTAGGACACATTAAGAGCTATCCTTGGCAAAATAAGCTTTCCAGCATGTTAGCTGGTAGCTCGGACTGCAGGCATCTTCACCAAGAATGGGCTTCATTTGCTGTCTGTTTCTTTGAACTTCCACCGCACACACTGCGTCTTTCTCTCACCCACGCCCTTCTAATTGCGGTCGTATTGAGCACTGAATCTTGGCTCGCTATAACCTGCCATGGTCGAGCTTATAGGTTAGTAGAACAGAGAACCTTCCAC